CTCACTGTGTAGTTCAGACTGATCTGGAACTCACTACATAGCCCAGGCTGCTCTTGAACTCACAGCAGTCCTCCTATCTCAACCTCCCCAGTGTTGGGATTAGATTACAGGTGTGTGCCACCACACCCGGCTTCTCAGGTGTTCTTTTCATAGAAGTATCTAATTTCCCCATCAAATTTTTTTACCCCCATCAATTATGAAAGATAGTTTTTTGTTTTGTTTTGTTTTGTTTTTTGGTACTGGAAATTGAACTTGGGACCTTACGCTTACAATGCAGGTAGCAGCTCTACTGGCCCTTGAAAGATAGCTTTCCAGGATTCATCAATCTAGTTTGGAGGTTGTCTTTTTTTTTTTTTTTTTTTTTTGTTTTGGGGTTTTTTTTTTTTTTTTTTTTTTTTTTGGTACCAGGGATTGAACTCTGGGCCTTATGCTTGTGAGGCAGGTGGTGGCACCACTGAGCTAAATCCCCGGCCCCAGAGGTTGTATTCTTTTAGGGCTTCAGATACCTTCCAGGCTCTCCCTGACTTGAGGGCTTGTGTTGAAAAGTCTGCTGTGATTCTGATGGGCTTCTCTTTGTATGTGATTTGTTTCTTTTCTTTTCTCTAATTATTTGTAGGATTTTGTTCTTCTATTGGGTTTCCGGGATCTTGATTATTATATGTCTAGGTGGAGATTTTTTTTTTTTTTAATCATTGCTAGTTGGAATACTATATGCCTCATGTATCTGTATGTCAGATTCTTTTGCTGTGTTTGGGAAGTTTTCTGCCATTGCTTCTGTGAATAGATTTTTTTATGTCATTTGTACTTTTTCCTGCTTTTTATGGACTCCTAGTGGTCTTACATTATTCTATGCATCATCTAGGAGCTCCTGGATGAATTTCTCATGGCCCCTTACTATTTTTAAAAGATCTCTCTTTTCATAGTCAATGACCGCAATCCTGTCTTCTATATCTGACATTCTGTCTTCACTCTGGCTCATTGTGCTGCACATAGTTTCAGTAGAGTTTTAAATTTCCTGAATATCTGTTTGAATCTTGTTTCATGGATTCCATTTCTTTGCTATAGAGGGCATTCATGGTTTCCATTTCTTGCCTATGCTGGGCATATGGCTTCCATCATGGTCCTGAGCTCGTCTATTTTTTTATGTTTCTATTTCATCTTTTTTTTTTTTTTGGTACTGAGGATCGAGCTCGGGTCCTTGTGCTTACGAAGCAGGCAGAAGAACCACTGAGCTAAATCCTGGCCCCTATTTTTTTATGTTTTTGTTCTAGAGTCTCTAATCATGTCTTTCTTTCTGGTTACCATTTCTGTAGTTATCTGGGAAATTATTTTTGCTTTGAATTTTCCTAAAGCCTCATTCATCTGTTTTGTTACTTTCTGTGCTTATCAGTTCAGGGTGTCCAGGTGGTTGATTATAAGGTTTTTCCACTTTGTTTTCCCCAGAAATTGCCATTATTGAACTGCATGTCTGGGTTTTCACCTTGCTTAGTTGTCTTCTCATTTCTATTTTTGTTGTAGTTACTGCTTTTGGTTTAATTTTTGGGTTGCTACTTCAAAATTTCTTATTGTAAGTATCTTTGTTGCTTGTATTTAGAACCCTTATGGAATGATTTCTTCTCAGAGGTGTCTTCCATGCGTAACAGGTCTTTAGGCTTTGAGTCTCTTGTGACTTTTACCAATGTTGTTTTCAGAATACCAGGAAAGAAGCTGGGTGTGGTGTCCCATGCCTGTAATCCCAGCACTTGGGAGGCTGAGGCAGGAGGATTGCTGTGAGTTTGAGACCAACCTGGGCTACATAGTGAGTTCCAGGTCAGTCTCAACTACATAGTAAGCCTGTCTCAAAAACAAAACAAAACAAAACAAAACAAATCCAGAATACCAGGAAAGGCATTTGATTAGATCTATTACGACACTTTAGCTCAAGTGATCCAATCAGCAACAACAGTAGCATCGTGGGCTGGGGATTTAGCTCAGTGGTTCCAGAGCACGACTCACAAGCACAAGGACCCAAGTTCGATCCCCAGTACCAAAAAAAAAGAAACAAACAATAGCATCAAGCACAGCTTAGAAAATGACAGTTTGTGGTAGCTGTTTATCACTTTTAACTGTGTGAATTAAATCAAAATTGAGCACCAGCCCAAAAATATATTTATAGTGAATAAACTCTTCAATATAGCAACTTTACCCCTCGGATGAGGACTTAGAAGGAGTTTGGGAGGGAGGGATAGGGAGAGGTTAGAAGTGAGGCCTGAGGACACAGGAAGATCACACAAACTCTAGAAAAACTGTTGAAGGCGAGAGGAAAAGACAAGAACAGAACAAAGTAGCTGGGTATGGTGGCACACACCTGTAATCCCAGCACTCAGGAGGCTGAGGCAGGAAGATTTCTGTGAGTTCGAGGCCAGCCTGGGCTACGTAGTGAGTTCCAGGGCAATCTGAACTACAAAGTGAGATCCTATCTCACCACCCCCCCAAAAAAAGAAGGACAGAACAAAGTAACAGCAGTAGGGAAGCTAGGAAGCTAGAAATTACTCAGTTTCCTATAATACTAATAACAGTCAAGAGAAGGAAAAAGAGAAGAAAAGAAAAAGAAAAAATCCAAATTAGAACAAAACTAGGAATAAAAATGGACAGAGATGAATAAATTGGGAGAGTGAGAGAAAGAAAAAGGATTAAAATTTTGAAAAGAAAAAAATTAAAAATAAGAAAAACTTTGTAAATAAAAATTAATAATAAAAATGAAGGGCCTCCTTCAGGGTACGTCTCTGCTGTCATAGTAGACAGTGTGAGCAACTGTGTACAGATCTATGTCAGTTAGTCTCAGCAAGCCAGCAGCAGTCCACTGAGATTCAGGCTGATTTCTAACTGCAAGGTCCAGGTTGAGCTCCCAGACCTCCAGCCAGATTAAACTGTGCAAAGTTCCACTGCAGGTTCCAATTGCCCTTCCCCTGAAGATAGTCCAGGTCTGATGGGAGGTGGTGATCCCTCCAACTTAACAATTGCAGTGGTCTGGTGTGCCTTTATTGTAGGGATTTTTGTTCACTTCTGCTCTATCTTCTGGAACTCAGAACACTGTCCTTTTTGCCCTCCTGCACCTCTATGGTATGGATCCAAGTATCAGGGCTGGTGGCCAAAGGTGCTAGCGCCTGTGTGCAATTCAGCTCCTTGGTGGCCTAGTGGGTGGTGCTATCTGCTTCATTTTTGTTTCTTTGAAACAGGCTCTCACTGTATGGTCCAGGCCTGTCTTGAACTTGCTTCATAGCCCAAGTTGACCTCAGACTTGTGATGCTTGTGCCTCAGCTTCCCAAGTGCTTGGCAGGGTTTTTTCTGTACAGGTCTAAATATTTTGGCCTCATGGCCTTAGAGTATTTGTTGCAGCTTATCAGTTCTGTTGTTGCAGTATGAAAACAGCCATAGAGAGCACACAGCTGAATCAGGACAGCTGTTTTCCAGTAAGTTTGTTTACAAGTCAGATGGCCAAGCTGGGCTTGGTGTAATCCTGTAATCCCACACTCAGGAGGATGAGGCAGGAGGATCACTGCCTGTTCAAGCCCAGCGTGGTTTTCACAGTAAGTTCAGGCAGCCTGAATTACACAGTGAGACCTTGTCTCATGAACTCTTCCCCAGTGGCTGACCAGATGTGACCTGCAGGCCACGTACCCTTTTCCATAGCATAGGACATATCTGCTGAGTTTTACACAGCATGCTAGGCAGACCTAGGCTTGGTGCTGACTTAGTGCTGCAATCCTTATTTATTTTATTTTTTGGGTTTTTTTTTGAGACAGGGTTTCACTATATAGTTGAGGTTGACCTGAAAGTCACTACATAGCCCAGGCTGGTCTCAAACTCACAGTGATCCTCTTGCCTCAGCCTCCTGAGTGCTGGCATTACAGGAGTACACCACCAAACCTGGCTCTGCAATCCTTAAAGATGATGCTAGGAGCCTTGCCAGCTAAGTATTGTATCACCCTAGGAGACTCAAGGACTCGTGTAACGTGGCTAGTTCCAGAACAAAGGGTGGCCAACAATAGGAAATCTATTACCGTAATCACACTACTGGATTGACATTATTGGTTTATTTTTGTCTCATCACTAGATATCTAATAGCATCTCGGGTAATTACATGTCCAGAAATTTCCCATATATTAGTTTAAACATGAAAATTAGAAGTTATAATTAAGTGGAAAAATAATAATTAATAAAATGATGTTTCTATAGTCTCTTGATAAAGAAACATGACTTCCAAGAGTAAAATTCTTAAAGGAAAAATTTTCAGGCATAATACTCAAAATACCAATTTTACGTGGTAAAAGATATTATAATATAAGGGAAAATTACACATATACTTATAGGTGTGTGTGCCACACTGTATTGCCATTGTTTTATTTCTTAGAGCTTGGATAACAGAAAATCTTTTTTATATACTGTGTAATTTTTAATAAGAATTTAGAACTTTTGTAATAAATAAATATAGATATTTTATAATAAATAAGTAAAGATATTTTCATTTTGGCGAGAATAATATAGAAGAATTAATTGTATTTATTCTGTTTGCCTAGGTAGGTAGTGTTTAACATATGGAAAAATTTTGAGCAATTTCTGAGTTTTGGCACAGACTTAACTTTCAGCTAGGGAAGTAGCTTGTTGGTAGTGTGTGCCCAGCATACATGAGGCCATAGGTTCAATCCTCAGCACCACCAAAATGATGAAGACTTTATCTATTCCATATATACTAATGTAAAGTACAAATAGAACTAGGTAGTGTTTATGTTGTTATAGTATTTTAAAACTAAAATGGTATCAAGTGTTATGAGTAGACATCTTTCATTCTCCATTTTTCTAAAGTTCTTGTATTTAATTTGAAATTTTTATCCTAATTTTTCTGCTTACATTTAAGTTTAATTATAAAGCTAGTATTTTTTTTTTTACTTGACAAAGATTTTGGCATATAAGGTTCATCTTAATACAAAATTGGTAAAATAAATATTATTTAATCTTAGAGCTATTCTTCAAAATTCCTGGACAGAAGTCATGGATTTAATACTAAAACCTCGTTCTGGAGGTAAGAATAAAGTTCATGTTAAAGAAAATAATGAGGTTGGGTGGGTTCAATCCCCAGTGCCAAAAAGAAAACAAGAAAATAAAGAAAAGAATCAGTATATGAGCCCAAGGCAGGAAGATCACTGTGAGTTTGAGGCCAGGAGAGAGACAGAGACATACACAGATTGATTCATGGAATTTCTTCCAATAAAAAAATGTGTGAGTTTCAGGCATGGTGGTACACACCTGAAATCCCAGCACTCCAGATGATGAGACAGGAGGATTTCTGTGAGTTTGAGGCCAGCTTGGGCTACATAGTACAAGACCTTGTCTCTCCCCGCCAAAAAAAGTGTAAGTTGAATATACAGTAAATGTTTTCATTTTAAAAATTTATTACAGGAAAAGACACTTTGTTAATCTCCCTCATACTTATCCTAGGTTCATATACACTTATCCCTTCATTCTTGCTGCTCTCTAATGTAGTTCTGGAAATCTTCACTTCTGAAAGTCTTTTTGAGATATAATTAAAAAAAAAAAATTCAGTGAGTACTCTTCCTTCATGTCATCCACTAGAAAGCTTATAGAAGTATTTGTTAGGGTATGACTTCAATGATCATGGAAGATAAACTTTTTTAACCAATTCAGGATGTCGAGGGAGTCACTATAACCCAACTAATAATACTCATAAAAGAAGACGTCCAGGGCCAAGGATTTGGCTCAGTGGTTCCGCTGCCTGCCTCGCAAGCACAAGGACCTGAGCTCGATCCCCGGTACCAAAAAAAAAAAAAGACTTCCACACTTGCTTCAAGAAGTGGCAAGAATGATGGGATAAGTGTGTTTGAAGTGAGGGAGAGGATTTTCAGCAGGATTAGTGGCAACATGTCTGTTACTATAATTTTTTTTTTTTTGAGATAGGGTCTTTTCATATAGTTCAGGCTGGCCTTGAGCTCACTATGTAGCCCAGCCTGGCCTCATATTTGGGGCAGTCCTCCTGCCTCAGCCTCTCAAACACTGTGATTACAGGCATGTGCCATCATGCCCAGCTGTACATTTTTTGTTATTTTAAACATCTACCATATTTTTTTTCATTGCACTTCATATGTGCAAATTGGGGTGGTTATTTTTAGAATTTTATTTTTAAATTAAAATTGAAAGTATAGCTTCTTCATATTTTTCACAAGTTTTGTGTATGTACTTGAGATTTTAAATTTATATCCTGGTTTTAGCTGTACAGTTCATCTGATTCATAATGAGGAAACATCTGAGAAATAAATTCATTTTCTTTTCTTCACTGCTAAATCTGTGAATGTATTTGAATCCTTTACATGGGGCTATTTTGTTAAAGCATAGTGTAATGAAATATAAAATCTTGGCAAAAACACCTTGAGAAGTTGAGCATAGTGGTACACATCTGTAATCCCAGCTCTCAGAAATACTGAAGCAGAAGATTGCTAATTCAAAGTCAGCCTCTGATATGTAGCTAGTTCAAGACCTGCCTGGACTACACAGTGAGACCCTGTATCAAAAAAAAGAGGAAAACTTAAGATTTAGAGATTAGAAGTTCTTAAAAGACCGGGCATGATGGTGCATAGTTCTAATTCCAGCTACTCCAGAGGCTGTAGCAGGAGGTCTGCAACTTCAAGGTCTGCCTAGACAATTTGGCGAGGTCCTGTCTCAAATAAAGAAATCTGGGGGCTTAACTTAGTAGTAGAACACTTGTCTAGCATTAGCAAGACTGAGCTCAAACCCCAGTAATGTTTTACTAATAGTTTTCCAGAAAGTACCTCTAAAGGCATACTGTGTAAAAGATTTAACTCCTGCTTTATAAATTACTAAAATAATTATACTCACTTTGGGTAATTATTCTTCTGCACACTAAACAAAAAGATAAAATTATGTAACTTTAAAGAAAATAACCCATTACACTTGACTGTAAAATGGAAAAAGAGAAGGAAGAAAGGGCTACCAGGCTTTTATCTTATGTTGAATTAGCTGTGCAGACAGTGAAGAGTAATTAGCTGTCACTGTCAGCCTGGGAGCAGGAGCATGTTGGCACAGTCATGCACTTACTTCTTTAAACTTGGCCTAGTTCTGGTCCTTCCACTTTCTTGCAGCTGTTCTCAAGTGAGCAGAACACTGTAAACAACTTTTATAATGTCATGTTCCCTATGAAATACGCTATTGTGAAAGAGCATCTGTTGGATAAATTGTTTAATCATAGCTTTCTTCCTCCCCAGCCGAAAAAGGGTACTTGGTTAAATGCAGGGAAGAATGGGCGAAGACCAAAGACCCAGCTGCTGCCCTCAAAAAACTGCCTGTCAAAAGGTGTGTGGAGGGGCAGCTGCTTCGAGGACTTTCAAAATATGGAATGAAGAATATAGTCTCTGCATTTGGCATAGTGAGTGCGATTTGTGAAGTCAGGCAATGGCCCAAGGTGGTTTAATGATTTTTAAGCTTTATCTTAGAAGATTTTACTAAATTTTGAAAGAACAGAAGGTAATTGAGTATCCTTTGTGACTCCAAAGAGGTGTTTTACCCCGGTGATCCTTTTCAGACCCAAATGGAGACAAGTGGGTGGATGTGGACAACATTGGCACTACTTTTTAACATTGAGGGCATGAGAAGCGTTAATATGCAAAATACAGTCTCCGGTGGAAAATTAAATAGAGTATTCAAGAAATACAGAATCTTTTGTCTGATCATTTCTTGGTCATCAATCTTAGAACTGTAAACTGCCTTAAGAGAGTTGGACCTTAGCAGTCTAAATAGTTGCCTGTTAGTCTGGTTTTACTGTGGTGGCCCAAGAGTGGTGTCATCTTGGCAAGGGTAACCTCTGCCACTATTTTATATAATAGTCTAGGACATGTTAAAATTTACACTTTAAACCTGTCTTAGTTGCTTTTTCCCAGATGTACAAATAAAGCAGTATTCTCCCTGCTAGAAATTAGTTGTCATTAAGGCATTTTAGATGAATAGGATTTATAAACTTCTACCACATTAATCCATCTAGTTTGAGGTCTCTGTCTCTAATGTTTAGTGCTCTGTATCAGTGAATGTTTTTACAAGCTATTTAAAAAATCAGTTTCTAATACTAGGTTCACCACTAAACAAGATGTCTTAAGAGACTACAGTGTTTTATATTCAATTTTTTTGCCTTTTTCACCCTTCCCCTCAGATACCAAGAAATAATCGCTTAATGTATATCCATAGCTATCAAAGCTATGTGTGGAATAATATGGTGAGCAAGAGGATAGAAGACTATGGGCTGAAACCTGTCCCAGGGGACCTTGTTCTCAAAGGAGGTAAAACGGCTCGTATCATTGTTCAGTCAAATAGGATTTAGGTCTCGGACACCAATGGCTTTAAAATCCTGCCTGCCTACTAAATTAAGAGAGTGTCTAGTAAGCTTGAGATGGAAGGGCCATGTAAGCTTAGAGTGACTAGTTTGTATATGTAATTTTAAAAAATCTTTATCCAGTTTGAGGAAGCAGCTGACTCTCCATTTTCTCAGTTAGCTTGTAGAATAGGATTTGAACCCATGATGACTATAATCCCTTTCCAGCTTTAACCTGGGCCTACGCATATGTGTATTTGTAGTTTGTTGTCAGCCAGTTTTAAAATTTCTTTAGGTTAGTCCCAGACTGGAGCTAACTGTATGTGCAGGCCATTATAGAATGGGCATTCTGTGTGTGCTGCACCCAAGACGTTCCTAAGACAGCAGTAACATCTCATCCACTGTGGCCTGCTGTGTTCCAGGTCTTGCACCAACCCCTTTCTTTGCCTGTATCCTGTAGTGCTTCTTGCAGGTATTCTTTCCATTTTTCATGCAGTTTAGTCCCTTGCTCAGTGTACCATAGCTGTTGGGAAAAAAACGAATTCTTGTCTGATTCCAAGATCCATGTTCCTGGGTCAGTGACATGCCTGGCCACCATCTGTTAGTTCTTACATGGCCTGTTCATCTGCATTTGTTCTGAAATTTTGTTTTTCCTGATGTAATGTTTTTTCTTCTTGCAGTATTGATCACACCAGTGTACTTTACTGTCCCATGTACCACCATGTTTCATCCATTAAATATAGGTTTTTTAAAAATTCTTTATTCATTTAGCAGAATGAATACATGTGTATGATGGCTTTCCATAAAGCTTTTCACATTTCACATTATCACCTAAGAAGGGTAAAGGTGCTGGATTTTTTTTTTTTTTTTTTTTTTTAATTTTTTTTTAGTAAGTCTCACCTTGTAATTCAGACTGGACTTGAACTCACTTTGTAGCCCAGGCTGGCCTCAAACTTAGAGCAATCTTCTTGCCTCAGCGAGTGCTGGGCTCACAGGCATGTGCACCAACATGCCCATTTTAAAGTGCTGGTTTTTTTTTTCTTTTTGGTACTAGGGATTGAACTCAGGACCTTGTGCTTGCAAGGCAGGCAGTAGAACCATTGAGCTTAAATCCCCGGTCCCAAGGTGCTAATTTTTAAAAAGTGGGTGTTCCCAGAAAATGATGCAACTGAGTGTTTTTAATCTTCATTAAGAATTCTATTAAATGGGCCAGGGATTTAGCTCACTAGCACCCGTGCCTGCCTTGTAAGTGCAAGGTCCTGAGTTCAATCCCTGGTACCAAAAAAAAAAAAAAAAAAAATTCTACTAAATCTTTGGTTTTATTTCTTAGAATAGAAAAGACAAATCCTAATCCTAACTCAATTTCCTTACAAGCTTGAACGCACAAAAATAGTGGCTTTTTCTTTAAGTTACTGTTTGCTTATGGATTTGCAGCCACAGCCACCTATATTGAGGAAGAAGATGTTAATAATTACTCCATTCATGATGTAGTGATGCCCTTGCCTGGTTTTGATGTGATCTACCCAAAGCATAAAAGTAAGTTCTCTGGGGGGTGGTCATCAAAATAGTGAAAACAAGTCTAATGAATTTAAGCCCTGACAGCCACATGTGAAGAAAAGAAAAAAAACACTATTCTTGATTTTAAAACCTTATTTCCATCACACTTAAAGGGGCTATTTAAATTTCAAACATACATATATAAACTGTGTTTGTGTATGAAAGTTTCCCAGAAGGGTACATTTAAATGGAGAATTTAGATTAAGAAAGGAGAGCTGGGCCCTTCCCTGTAGTCCCCACTGTGCTAGATGCTAAAACCAGAGGGCTGCTTGTAGGACTGCTTGGGCTCATGATTTGGAGTCCAGCCTGGGCCCGAGAGGGGTGAGGGGAGGGAGGAGATAGTAGTACTAGTAACAGTTTTTTGGGATTTTTGGTACTGGGAATCGAACTCAAGTTGCACTTGCAAAGCTGACAGTGGAACCACTGAGCCAAATCCCCAGCCCATTAATAACAGTTTTATTCTTATCATTGCTTCTTGCATTATTTAAATTTCTAAAACGCGTTAATTTAAGACTAGGATATGGCTTAGTGTTAGAGCACTTGCCTCGTGTACACCAAGCCTTGGGTTCAGTCCCCAGCACTGCAAAACAAAAAAGAATCACTAATTTGTATCAAAGACAGGAAGAGTCTGAAGAGTCACTGAGAAAGTGCGTGTGGATGGACAGTTGTACTTTGACATAGGTTTCTTTAAACTTTTCTAAAAAAACTATAAAAGGGGGCCAAGGATTTAGCTCAGTGGCACCATGCCTGCCTCCAAGCACAAGGTCCTGAGTTCGATCCCCGATACCAAAAAACAAAACAAAAAAAACCTAGAAAAGATTGATGATGTAGCTTAGTGGTAGAGCACTTGTCTAATACGTTTGAGCCCCTTGGTTTGGTCCTCAGCACCACAAAGTAGTATGTGGTTGTGTTTTAAAAGTCAGCAATTGGACCGGGGATTTAACTCAGTGGTTCTGCCACCTGCCTCACAAGTATGATGTCCTGAGATTGATGCCCAGTACCAGAAAACTAAAATAAAAAGTCACCAAATATGCAGAAGCTTAAAAAAGTGGAAAGTTAAGCTGGGCATGGTAACATATGCCTGTGGTCCTGATATCTGTGAGGCTGGGCAGGAGGATCCCAACTTCAAGTCCAACCTGGGTAATTTAGTGATTTACAAGAGGACTGTTTCAGAATTAAAAATAAAAAAGATGCTTGAGGTGTAGCTCATTTTGAACACCGTCCCTACCACCACCACCCCAAAGTGGAAAATTAGAATTCTCTATTTCCCATTCTCCAGAAGCTGCTACGAATTATTTCTGTTGCTCTCCTGGGTTCCTCTTGTGCAGCGGGTAGAGGATTAAAACTTTGACTCTTCAGAAATTTAAAAAAAGAGAGCAGCTCTCACTGTGGCACCAACTCAGTGGGACTGACTCTGGGAATTATGCCTACCTGAGACTCTGAGATTGGTTGTGAGTCTTTTCCTGTTAAAATATCTTTTCTCTCAAGAAGCCGGAATTTTTGGTTTTAGTTTTGGTTTCTTCAGACTGGGCTTTGCTATTAGTTCAGGATGGCCTTGAACTTATTATGTTGCCTAGGCTGGCCTCGAATTTGCAGCAGTCCTCTTACTTAAGCCTCGTGAGTGCTGAGATTATAGGAATGTGTCACATCCAGTAGCCAGAAATATTTTACTTATTAAAATATATTCCTGGAAATTTTATGAATTAGAAAAATGATTATAGGAAATGCTCTTCTTAGGTAATGTAAATACTCTAGAAGGGCTAAGTGGAAATGTACCATTTATATGTTGATTGATTCAACCAAATTGCTGACTTCCCTGAGGGAAAGGGGTAGATGTGAGGAGGTGGGAATGTGAGGTGGGGTGCAGGAACCAGAAGAGCAGAAACAGGAGCTGTGGGAAGGCACTTGAGACACTTACAGCCAGCTTCCCTAGTACTACAGAGAGACAAGCCCACTGCAAAACTGGGAATCCCTTGGCAGGTTGCCTGCAAGATGCAGAACCAGGAGGCAGTAGTTGTACAGTCCAGGTCCATAGGCCTGAGAGCAGGGAAGGCAGTGGCATGGCTTTCATCAGAGACTACAGGAGGGCAGAAGAGCCTGGATTTGTGACCTGCAGGAGAGAAGAGGGCCATTCCAGCCCTAAGAGAGGGAACCCACCCTTTTTCCTTTTTGTTCCATCCAAGGTGTGTGCACACAGAGTGCTCCTACTCACATGCCAGCCTCCTCCATAAACATCTTCCCCATGCAAGTGTGGGGCAGCCCAGTCAGTTTAATAAAAAATAAAATCAAGCCAGGCACAGTGGTGCTGTCATCCCAGCACTCTGGGAGGCTGAGGCAGGACTGTGAGTTCAAGCCCAACCTAGGCAATTTAGCAAGACCCAGTCTCAATTTTTTTTTTTTAAAGGGCCTGGGAGGGCCGCAGATTTCGCTTAGTAACACTACACCTGCCTAGCAGTGTCCTAAGTTGGATTCCCAGTACCAAAAGGAAAGAGGAGTGCTGGGAATGTAGCTCAGTACAAAGGTTCAATTAGTAGTACCGAGGGAGGGAGGGATGGAGGGAAGAAAAGGATGGAAGGGAGAGGAAACAAAAAATTACTTGTGTTTCCCTTAAAGTATAAAGGGGATGACCAAAAAAAGGGATGGGCTCAGGGCCTACTGAAACATTGAAAACAAATAATGGTGTACATCCATCTTAATATTCTTTAATCTAGTCAAGTTGACATCCCAAATCCAACTGTCCAAAGAAAGAAAAAGAAGGCAGGGCATGGTGGCATGTACCTGTAATCCCAGCACTTTTTAGGCTGAAGCAGGAGGATCACAGTAAATTAGAGGGCAGCCTGGGCTACACAGTGTTTTCAGAGCCAACATGAACTACATAGCAGGACCTTGTCTCCAAAGAAAAAAGAAACATTCTTTTCTTTCTTACACTTCTCAGAATCAGAAACATTGCTAATACCAACTGGAGCAAGTTTAACAGTTTTGACAGTGCCATTAGTGAAACCTTGTGGCTGAAATAGGGACTTATACACTGTATGGGTGATCTGCAGCAAGTGGACACCTAGCAGGTGTACATTAGTATTTAGGATTGCCTGTTAACTTTTTAATGAACAGCCTAGATAAAGAAACCTGCTGATCACATTTGTAAATAGTGCCGAGTAGTTAATATCAGATAAATGAAAAATTATTTTAAGAACTGCACCAGATAGTTGAGAGGCTAAGGGGAAGCCTGCAAGTTCAAGGCCAGCCTAGGCAATGTAGCAAGACCCCATCTCAGAAAACTGTAGAAATCATATAATAGGATTAAACATAAATTCTCATATTTAAACTCAGAGATCAAATGTACCAATGGAGAAGTCCTAGTTCGATAATGTTTATATGAAAAATTATTTAAAAGCATCCAGAATTACTGTTGCATTTATAAGCCTGCTGCCCTAGGGCGGATGAAGTGTTGGTAGAGAAAACAAAAATGTTAGCCTGGCGTGGTCGTGCACACCTGTAATCCCAGCACTCAGGCTGAGGCAAAAGGGTCAGAAGTTCAGGTCCAACCTTGATTACATAGTGAGACCCTGTCTCAGAAAACAAAACGTGTGTGTGTGTGTCAAAGGAGAGACAGTTAAGAGGACTGTTGTTTGATCTGATGATGTGGTTTAAAGATCCAATACTTGAGAGTATTTATAGAGGAAAGTTTACCCATTATGTTCCAGAGCCATCATCACAGGCTATAAGAAGACAGATTTCAAAAGAAAAAAATGTGAGCTAATGAAAAGATGGAAATAAAGTGTTTGTAGAATGGGGAAGGGAGGAGGGGGTGAAGGGAGGGCAGGGACAAGGTGAAAAATGAGAATCAAGACCTGGCATGTAGAGGTACAAGACCCCAACAATGAATGTAACTGTACTGTATCCCTAAAATGTACCAATAAACTCAAAGCTGTGCGGGGGGAGACAGATTTCAGCTTGGAATAGGAAGAACTTTCTAGTAATTTTGTGCTTCACAAAGAAGTAGTTCCCTGTAAATAACAATGTGGAAGTGAAGTCTAGAAGCTGTCTCATTATTAAATGCAGCTTCTACATAAGGTGTAAGAGTAAGACAGATGGCTTTCCAGGGTCTCTTATTTTTATACATTTATTTATGACTACTTCCAAAGAGCATTGAAGCTTTTGTGTATGGTCTCTTCTTACTCTGAGCACATAGTTTAGGAACTTTGGATGAAATGGTTTCGTTTGTTTGTGACAAGGTCTTGCATAATCCAAGCTGGCCTTAAACTTGCTATGTAGCCCAGGTTGGCCTCAAACTCCTGGTCCTTCTGCCTCATCCCCCTGAGTGCTGAGGTGACAAGCATGCACCATTACTCTTGGCTCCTGAAGGGGCCTTTTGCAGTTGACTTGAGAGTTAACCTACAGTAGGAGCACTGGTTACAGATAACCTACAGATTGGACAAACCAAAGCTGCAGTCACCTCCTAGTCCTGGTTGCTAAACCACTAAGTTTGTATTCCAGAGAATAGACTTTAGTTCATAAATTAGGGTGACTGATGTTAGGGCAGTCTAACAGAATATACATACTACATTTTTTCTAGTCTAATTCAAGGTAGACTAGAACGTGTTGTCAGGCTGCATCCCAACTAACTTTTTCTATTTTGTATTAGTTAGTGAAGCCTACAGAGAAATGCTGACCACAGACAACCTTGATATTGACAATATGAGACACAAAATTCGAGATTATTCCTTGTCAGGGGCCTACCGAAAGATCATTATTCGTCCTCAGAATGTCAGCTGGTGAGTATAGTCTAGGATGAAGTAGAACCAAATTACTCCATAAGGTTTTCAGTTTTTGCTTTACATGTGTAGTTCTTGGTGCTTAGAACCTAGCATCTAAGTATTTCATAAGTACTACTGTTCTTATTACTGTTATTGCTGCTCTGTCAGTTGGTATTTTTCAAATCAAGTAATACATGAAGCTGTATTGAATGTCATCATACAGTGAAAGTGACTTCATTTACATTTGCTAATATCACTGAATTATTTTCTGTAACAAAGTATTTATTGGTATATTTTAGGCATACATGATGATAACACTCTTCATAGGGAATTTGCACCTGTACATTTTACCTCCCGCCTCTTATTTCTTATTCCCCTCCTCCCTTCAAGCCCCCTCCCCTCTCTATGTACAAAAGCTTTGTTTCCATTTTTTCCTTCTTTTTTCACTTTTTTCCTTGTCTCTTCTTTTCTCCCTCCTCCCATTTGAACATTTTCTTGACATTTCCCAATATCTGTTAGATATTTTAGTCCTTATTTCCACTTTCAGTTTTTCACAGCAGAGAAAGAATGTGGTATTTAAACATGTGTGCCCTGAGCCAAGCATGGTAGTGCATCCCTGTAATCTCAGCACTTGGGAGGCTGATGCAGAAGGATTTCTGCTAGTTTGAGGCCACTGTGGGCTACATAGTGAGTTCACGCCAGCCTGCACTACAAAGGGAGACACTGCCTCGAAAAAACAAAATTAAAAAGAAAGAAACATGTGTCCAATTTATTTTACTTAAGAGTGTGGTCTCCAGGTCCATCCTTTTAGCTATAAATGTCTGGAGCTGCTGCCTTTTTTTTTTTTTTTTTTTTTTGTGGTACTGGGAATTGAACTCAGGACCTTGTGCTTGTGAAGCAGCCAGCGGCACCACTGAGCTAAACCCCCAGCCCCTAGCTCATCCTTCTTTATGGCAGAGTAGTACTCCATTGTAGAAAACCCCCACCTTTTCTTTAGCCATTCATTGGTTGAACACTAAATTATTGAAGAAATATGTAGAGAATGAACGTTTCCTCATATTTCTAAAAAAATTAAAATTTGTTATAATAGAGCTATCCCTAAGTGAATTATTCAGAATTTGCTATGAATTCCAACTGGTTATTAGAACTGGTTGTTCTAATATGTTTCTAGAAAAGGATACTTGTATTTATTTATTTTAAAATACTTTCTTATGAGTATTATCTAAAGCTTTATTTGATAATTTTAAAATGAAATCCTAAACTTGTTACCTAGTACCAGGAAATTTTATTTTCCTCTCGCCCTCTCACCTTCTCCCTGTTTCTTCTCTGGCAGGGGGCATGAAGTTAGCAGAGTTGAGCTTTACCTTCTTCACTTGAGACAGTTCCTCACTAGTAAAAAGGTGTTTGTGAGGTCATGACCACACTAGAGAAAATGGAAGTGATTCATATCACATTTGTACAAAGTGAGGTTTACTGCTTAGTTTCATGTAAAAAGAATTTCCATCCTAGGGAAACATTTTCTGTCATTTCCAGAGGTCAGCGTCACCTGTCATCTTACTATATAGTAATATAAAGGCCCTAGGAAGAGTTTTTTGTAAGTGTAGCCCTGTTTTGTTGTTGAAGCATCCCAGCTATAATTATTTACAATAGATCTATGTGTTTTCTTGGGAAACAAATGCTGATGAGAAATGTAATTCCATTTATGAATGTTCATAGTCATACTTAACTTTATATGTTTTGAAGGGGAGTGGTTGCATATGATGACCCTAAAATTCCACTTTTCAACACTGATGTGGACAACCTAGAAGGGAAACCACCACCGGTATTTGCTTCTGGTAAGCTCACTTACTCTTCGGCTCTGTGTCAGTTTTGAAATGTTTTCTCATATAAAAATGTAATGTTTTGGGGAAACTGCTCTTAGAGTTATCACCACCACCCACCCACTCTGTGATTTCTATTTCATGTTTTGTCACCTTAAGCTTCATGATCGTAGCTGAAGGTAAGTAGCTAAAACAGTCACTCCCACTGAAGATGAACGTTATAGATAGTGTGATATTGGGTGATTGCATATTTCCTCCCTGTCCTCACGCAGAGACAATAAGGGTGTCCAAAAAACTGCTTTCTCGTTGTCAATTTCTTGTCATTCCTCTGTTTGTTTTAAAAAGTGGTATGATTTTACATTTACTAAAAGTAGGAAAAGAAACATGCTCAGGCTGGGTGTGGTAGCACATGCCTGGAATTCCAGCACTTGGGAGGCTGAGGCAGGAGGATCACCAGGAGTTCTAGGCCAGCCTGCACTATGTAGTGAGACCCTGTCTCTAAAAGAAGAAAAAAAGCATGTTCTGCAGAGTGAGTGTAGGCCAATTAAAAATAGGAACGGAATTGCACTCCAAGGGTGAGAGCAGACCACTGTGAAAGAGAACACGTGGCCTTATCATTCCTTTTTGTCATTGGTGTTGGGTGTCTGTGTCCTTGGCTGGGGCCAGCTTTACTTTTTTTAAATTGTTGTGCCTTTCTCCACTGTGCTCTTCTGTCATCTGCCCCTTGCGTGAAGGCTCCTGGGTAGAGTTGCTGTGTCCATCCAGCTGGTTCGTACACTCACAGATCTCTCACTTCCAGGGAGGTGGAAGCTTGTGGAGAGGACACAGCTCTTTAGGTTTGTCTGGAGATTCTGTGACTCTCCACTCTGTACGTGTCTGCCTTCATCTTCTGATTGTTGTCCTCTTTTTTGCCTGGCAGAAGGCAAATACAGGGCTCTGAAAATGGATTTTTCACTTCCTCCTTCTACTTATGCTACCATGGCCATCCGAGAAGTGCTAAAAATGGATACCAGCATCAAGAACCAGACACAGCTGAATACAACCTGGCTCCGCTGAGGAGTGCTTGCTTTATCTACATGCAGACAAGTATTTGCTTCCTCTTAAGGCAGAGCACTCATATGTGGATCTTGAATCTTTATAGTAAAAGATTATTTGTATTTTTTTAAGTTTTTATTAGCTTAAATAATTTGCAGTGTTTGTACATATACACAAATTTTGAGGATCCTAATTTTAGCTCAGAAAATATAAATTGGTCAGAATGTACTTTAGGTGCTTAAATCATAGTCAGAAATAGTTTTATGTGCTTTATAATAATAACAATGGACTTTAGTGTGAATGTATCAAATAGCAATTTTAGGTTGTGCTGCATATCTGAAGGACAAAAGGAATTTTTTTTTGTTTCTCCTAGTCCTGGGGATCGAACTCAGGATCTTGTACTTTCAAGGTTAGCCCCAGTGCCACTGAGCTAAATGCCTGGCCCCTGACAACAGGAATTCTTAACACATCATGAGTGGAGTACACAGCAAGCGTTTTAAGAGCAAATGCAGCAAAACAAATTCTGATTATGGATAAATAACTCGAGAGTCCCCAGTTATAAATGTAGTACTCATACTGAATCAAATGATAGTAAAATGTCTACAGGTTTATAAACACAAAAGTGATTGTTAGCTGGGTGTGGTGATGCATGCCTGTGATACCAGCACTCTGGGAGGCTGAGGCAGGAGGATCACAAATTCAAGCCCAGCGTGGATAACTTGGTGACTTAGGAGACCCTGTCTCAAAAACTTTAAAAAGACCTGAGAGGCCCAGGCGTAGTGGTGCGTGCACGCCTATAATCTCAACACTCGGGAGGTTGAGGCAGGAGGATCACTGTGAGTTTGAGACCAGCCTGGGCTACATAGTGAGTTCCAGGTCAGTCTCAGTTACATAGTGAGACCCTGTCTCAAAAAAAACCAAATAAATAAATAAATGAATGAATGACCTGAGATATAGCTCAGTGTGAAGGCCCTGGAGTTCAATCTGCAGTACCATCACCCAGAAGAGTGATAGTGGGCTGAGGATGTAGCTCCGTGGCTCAGTGCCTCTATGGCAAGTACGAGGTCCTGAATTCATTGCTGGTACTAAAAAAAGGGTAATAGTCATTATGCAATTCATGTACTAGATTCAGGTAAGCATTTATGTGATTTTTAGTTTGCAGTCATCAATGCCTTGCAGGAGAGCTGCACTGATAGGTTCTTCTTCATGTAACTGTGTAGCTGTTTTTATTGGTTAAGGTCTAATGTTTACTCTGGGTGCCTTTTATGTTAACTGTTACCACTGGACTGGTATTTGTCCTAAAATAAATAATGGCAGAGAAGACTTTAAAATATACCAGGTTCCTCTGTCAGCAGCGCGAACCCTTTGTCTCCCACTGCTTAGGTGTCCATCCACACCGCATACAATATCTCTGGTGTAAAAGCATAAATCTGCCTCCTAAAGTTGTGTGACCTAACTACCGATTTTTATTTTCTATCATTTCTAAAAGCAAATGTAATAAATATTTTTAAAACCTGCTTTCTATTGATAATAAATTCTTAAACTTAAGTGCAAACAAGAGTCTTGTCCATGACCAAAGAGAAAAGGCCAAGACCATGAAGGATCCTTAAAAATGACGCTGGCCCAGGGTGTGCAGTGATCGCGTGCACGGGCTGAGAATGGCAGAGAAGACAGCACAGCCAGCTGACTGTGGCTGGACTTGGCTCCCTGCCTCTGGCTTCACCCTCCCTCCAGTGCACTTGCCAGAGTGGAAATGAAAGGAATAAGAAGAGGAGCGGCTCTCTGTGGACTTTGAATGACATTTGTCCTGCATCTGGCAGCGAACACAAGAGTGAGACTATGGTTTCTCAACCCTTTTCCTCTGAGGACCCCACCCCACAGCTGAGGCGGAAAAAGTACTAAAAGTATCATGACAGATTATTCCTAGCTGCCCTAAAAACCAAACTTAGTACAGGCACAGTGGCCATATCTGTACAATCTGGTAATAGCCAGTTCTCTACATCATATTGACTAATGAAAATTATTATAGAGGAGTTAAGTTTGTCTATTGCAAGTATATTCTGCAGTTCTGCATTTATAAATTTACATTTTATAAAAAGTGAGGCTGAATTTAAATTTTCATCATCTGGGAAATATGGCACCTTGTGATGAATTCATTTTCCTGGCTACATTAGCCAGCTGCCGGTCTGCATATCTCTTCCCCCTGCCCAGGACTGGGAAGTAAAACCAGGGAGCACTGAGTTACACACCCCGTTTTTAAATCTTGATACAAGTTCCCATTAAGTTGCCCAAGTTGGCCTCAATTCGTGACCCTCCTGCCTCAGCTTTCCATGTGGCAGGAATTACTGACACAGCTGTGTCTGGCTTCATATCTCTTAAACACAAATGAGGACTTGGGAGGCTGAGGCAGGAGGGTCACTGTGAGCCCGAGACCAGCATGGACTACGTAGTGAGTTCCAGGTCAGTCTTAACTGCATAGTGAGACCCTGTCTCCAAAAAATAAAAAATACCAAGGTGGGCTGGGGCTGTAGCTCATAGGTACTGCACCTGCCTCCTGAGTTCAATCTCTGGTGCCACCAAAAAAGAAAGTAGTGGAAAAATAATGATTCAAGGTGAAGTCTTCCAGCTACTTTGAGACTTTGAGGGCATACTGTCTAACTGTAGGGATTTAGAGTAGACTATAAATCATCACCTTAGGATAGAAATGACATTTTTCATTGTTTTGGACATTTTTTTATTTTTTGGCTTTTTGGGACAGGGTCTCATATACACACACACACACACAGGCATGCTGCTGAAGTGAGCATGGTGTGTCACTATTTTGGGTTGGCCCAGTGGTTCTGCCTCTGCCTCCCAAGTGCTGGGATTGCACCCTGCTAGGACATTTTCAGGGTTTTTCTTGTTTTTGTTTTTGTCCTTGTCCTTTGGTACCAGGGATCGAACTTGGGTCCTTGAACTTGTGAGGCAGGCAGTGGAACCTCTGAGCTAAATTCCCCAGCCCTCTGCTAGGACATTTTCATTGTTAACATGGAGGAAGTTTCTCTGAGGCAAATTTACAAAACTGAAAGATAGCCTAATCCTAGGTATAAAAGTATTCTTTCCAAAAATTTTGCCTGAAATAATAAAGAATTATTTTTAGTATGATGTAAAACCAGCATTTTTTATAACAGAAAAATAAGGCAGATTATCAAGACCATGATATGAATGTTTATGTTAATGATTTTGTGTTATAGATAATAACTAGATCACCATTATACTAACAAAACCTGGTTGGTCCTGGAATCTTCATGGTTTCATGTTTTAAATAATAACCAAACCATTATACTGTTTTTTCAAAATTGTAGCCTGGCATGATGGCACACACCTGTAGTCCCAGAGGCGGATGATGCAGGAAGATCCTATGAACCCAGAGTTCAAGGCCCAGCCCAGGCAACATAGTTAAGACAGTAACTTTAAAACGTTAAAAACTCCTGGTTGATTCCAATGAATCAGCTGAAATACTAGTAGTAGCCACGGTGGCACATCAGTAGTTGGAACTTCACCAGTTGTTTCAGGCAGTACTGGTTAGTACAAACAAGGCCTTGCCCTGGAATACTTTTTGTGGCCGTTTTGCACTATAAGAAGGGGGTTATGCAAAATAAAATATTTGAATGGTATTTGCTACCCACTGATTTTAATGTACATATACTTTTTTGGAAACCAGAGCATTTAGGACAGTGAATCTTTCTATGTTTTTGTTGTTTCAGACAGAAGTAAAAGCCCAGTGGAAGAATTAAAAAGCTGTCTGGCAAGGTTCTGGCCTTGTAGGTTGAGAAGCTTTTGCTTGCATACCAAAGGACAAGGCTTTTCTTTGTTTGGTGAAACCTGCTTTCTCACTTTGTGGGGCTGCATTCCAACAGGGTGGAACATCTTGATGGTGGATCAGGAACACTTTGGAAGATTTTAAGGAGAAGTATAGATACTGTCTCCAGAGGAAGAAAAAGAAAGAATGTGTATACACATGCACACAATTCCAAACTTGCAATTTCAGGAGCGTCAGTGTATTCAGAGAAGATCTCTCTTCCAGATAGTGCTTTCCAAACTTGTGCCTAGTGGATACGCTGGCATTAGAGTGCAGAATGTTTCCAGAAGTGGAAGACTATCGCTGACTGTCCCCAAGGGGTTGAGGTGCTGTAGGTGCACTGGCTTTCAGGAGCAAGACTAGTCTGCTGGCCATGCCAGGCCAACCTGGAGTTAGTGGAATGAACTAAGATTCAGCTCCACTCGGCAGCCACATTTCAACTGCTTCACAACCACACGTGCTAGTGGCTGTCGTGGATAGCATTGGCCTAGTTAACAAGTCATTCATCCACGTACAGAGGAGAGCACACCCATCACCAACAGTGATGCTAATAACTACATGTGTGCTATGTACAAGCAGCTTAAGTTATAATTAGATCAAGAGCTCACACTGATTCAAAATTCCACACTTGAAATAGATCCCTCTTAATGAGTTCATCATTTTTTGCAGTGGTGAGTATCAAATACAATGCCTCACACCTGCTAGGCAAGTGCTGTACTGATGAGCTACTGCCATCCCAGCATTTCCTAACACTTCCTTGCTTTTTCTGGCTTTCTCGGGGATCACCTATAGTCCTTTATTTTTACCCTTGCTTTCAATCCAGTGGCCTTATTGTGTGGAAGAGTAGCTGGTGGGCTGGGGATTTAGCTCAGTGGATCCACGGCCTGCCTTGCAAGCACAAGGTCCTTTGTTCAATCCCCAGAACCCTCCCCCTCAAAAAAAAGTAGCTGGGGATGCAGCTCAGTGGCAGAGTACTTGCCCAGCATGACAAGGCCCAGGATTCAGTCCCTGGTACTGCAAAACAAAACAAGAATGGTAGAGAGTCGGGCATTGCTTTGTTCTGCGAGGATACGGTGTGGGCTTTATGATACAGATTGTCCACCTGTGCTAACGACTTCTGGAAACTAAAAAGATAAAACTGGAAAATTATCATGGGAGATTTCTCAGAGCCTGTCTCTCCCGGTTTATGGTTCCCTCAGAAGCTCTGTTTTCTAGAGCAAGGTGAGTTGTGTTTTGTGTACAGTGTCTCCCAGGTGTGCAGGGAACACATCCAGCAGCCCTCAGACAGCAGTGACCTAGAGATTGCATGTTTTTTCTTATACACATAAGATTAGCAGCAATAACTAGTAATAAAATAGAACAGGCCTAACACTATACTGTAATAAAAGTTACGTAAATGTGGGCTCTCCTCCCCTGCTCCACTTTATTGCATTGTACTGATTTTCAGACCATGGTTGACTGGAGATAACTGAAATTGTGGAAAGCAAAACCAAAGATAAGGCAACTGAAAATTTTCCAGTAGCCACAATTAAGAAAGTGAAAAGAAACAGGTGAAACTTAATTTTGTATTTAAACAAATGTATCTAAAATATTTCAGTTTACAGGTGAGATTTTAAAAACCCAGGTGGGGGTATAACTCAGTTGTAGAGCACTAGCCTAGCCTGCCTGAGGCCCTGGGTTCAGTTATTCTAATTCCATGTATATAAACTGGCCATGGCCACCTTTGGTAGTGCACACCTGTAATCCCAGCACTGTGCGACCCTGAGACAGAAGAATCCCTACAAGTTCAAGGCCAGCCTGGGCTATGTAGTGAGACCTTGTCTCCAAAGACCAAAACCTTAAAAAAAAATTAACGG